GACCTCAATGCTGTGAAAACAATTCTCAAATAAAACAACGGGTGGTTAATCAAATAAGAGGCTATTGTGCTGTGATATTTCCCTTCGAGTGGGCAATTATATGCTGTGAGTTTATTCCTCTGTTTCATGTCAGGTAGTTTATTAGCAAGGCCGTCCTATCAGTACATGTTCATAAAGTTATTCATTAAAGCACTGTTTTTAATTATGAGCAAAATGAAAATGTCCAAAATGTCCACACATAAAATCATCGTTGAAAAACTATGGCACCTCCACACAACAGAGTAACCTGCAGTTGTACAATAAGGAGGAAGATCTCCATGAAGTGATATGGAGTGAATTCTAGGATATATGTAATATTATTAAATGAAAAAAGTAAAATGCAAACACAAATCTATGGTGTGTTATTATTGTTGTAAAGAAGCGGGGGAGATCCAACAAACAAACAAACAAAACCGGGTGTGTAAACCAGAGTTGCTTGGGAGGCGTAAGTGGGAGGGAGTTGTGGAGGGAGGGGCATGGCCATGGGAGAAAGGGGATTAGACATGTGTCACACGTGTCACTCTCTGAGTACACATTTACTGCTTGTGTATATTTGTGTCTTTGGGGACCGTGTTAACATTACACATATTCTAGTCAAATAAATAACTGAAATCAACAAATGTGAGAGAAATCCAGATGGAGGACAAACTAAAGAAAATGAAACTAAGTATACTACGAATGAATGAAAAAAATAACCAGGGGAATGGATGGGAAAGAAAGTATAACTGTAAGTAACATTGCACTTCATTATTTTGACTATTCTCAGCAGGCCTCAAGACAAAGGAACTGTGAATAAAAATAGCACTTGAGTGAATAGCTCTGATTTCACAGTGGTATGGGTGTGTATGTGTGCACATTATCCTTTCTTCCTCCCAAGCGATGGCTCCATGGGACTTTCTGCCTGAGTTTACAACAAGGGGTCTGTGTGGCCTGACAGCAAGCGCAGCTCCAAGGCTACTGCTGTCCACTATGTGACCTGTGGCCTCAGCCAGCTCCATCTGCTGTGCCTCTGAGTGAATACACCCAGGAGCATTCGTTGGTCTTTCCTAGCAAGTATACAAGGTTTACAAATTAAATTCTCAGCATGTTATGGGGATACAAATGTTTAGGTTACATATATTGCCTTTGTCCAAACCCCCCCCAAAAAGTAAAAAAACTTAAAAATATTAAATTTTCTCTCTTTCTCTCTTTCTTGCCTTTCTTTCCTTCTCTTTCATTACGTTTAGACTTAACATGTAGCAAAGTGCCTGGGTCAGAGGTGGGGCTCAATACATATTTGTGGAAAAATAGATAACACGGAAACTGTGTTTCATCTTTCCAAGAGAAACTCTGGGATCAGAGAGAATCTAGGTGAGCACTGAGCTAGTCTCTCCAACGATTTTGGTCAGTTTATGTGGTGACAAAGGGACATAATGTGAGGAACCCTCGCCAGGTCCCAACTAATGCAGGGTAACAGCCTTTTTTGGAACCAGCAAACAGAGTAGCCAACAAAGACACTACTTTCATCCTTCATAATTTCTATTCAAAACAGATTTGAAGCAAGAATTTTCACCTTTCTGTAAATATGGGTTTAAACCTTCACAAAAATCCAGTATGTATTTGTTTTAGAAAAAGAGAAAAGGATGGGTTCCCCCTCCCTAATAACCTAAAGGCACCCCCCCACCCTGGTGAGATTACTAAATAGAATCATGTTTATGTCTAACCATAAAGGAACACTTTAAACAAACTTTCCCTGTGCAGCCCTCAGCCCTGTTCTCCAAGGAATCCCCAATGGGAGTTGAGGGCGACAGTGGGGCAGACAGGTGTGAACCGGCCCACCGGATGTCACTGGGAGAGGACAACAAACACGTGGTATAAGCCCAGACTGACTGTGTCACTGTGGACCCAACGTCTGATGACTATACAGTCACTCCATTGCTAATTAGAGTGATGTGCAGCAAAACCTATTGCAGCCTCCACAACAATTGGATCCCAGACATGGTGGGAAATCCGATTCATGGACCACTGACATCTAACTGAAAACTATGTGTCACTGTCTAATGTGGCCACACATTAGTACTTGCATAGTACCTGGCAACCAAGAATGATTTGTGATTCGCATCACAAGAAAACATATGAAAATGTGCAAGAAAGAACCTACACATCACCCCAGAAATGGCAATATCAGTTCACAGGGAAAATCCTCAGGATTCTCCCACACTTGACCACAAGAGGGGGCACAAGCACAACTCTGACCCCAGATGGGCTGGGTGTGTTACTGGTAATAGTAACAGTAGACTGGAACAGCAGACTGGTTCTGGCTTGATGATGATGATTATCACCACTTCTGCATTTCATTTCATAGCTCACACTTTCCTTCCAGCAATGATTTTCCACCTGTTACTACAGCCCATTCATCTGGCAGACCCTGTGGACATAGAGCAAATAACATCCATGGAAACTCCTAGGGTATTTAGCTGAAAAACAGTTCCCTCTGCGCATAGTGTCCACAAAGCAGAGTGTACGTCTGGGGAAATGAATCTAAAAGAAATTACAAGTTAGAAAGAAATGTGAGTGGGAGGGTCTGTCTAATAAAAAAAAGAAAAGGAGTCAGGACTAGGTCACCAGAGTGTGGTCTGGTCATTGAATGGCATCAGGAAGACAGGGATCAAGGTGTCGTCACCAAGGTGGGAGAAAGATCACCACCTGCAGGTCCTTCCCAGGCCAGTGGCCATGGACTTATAGATGTGTAAGTCAGACCCACATTTGCTCATATTCACAGCCACCTCCTGGCTCCAGAGACAGGATTGAGCTGATAGATCTTCCCAGATCTTCAGGAACTGTGGACACAGTCTGACAATGAGTAAGAGGACAATGGAAAACAATGGCTTTGGTTACATGTGTACCCCATTTTTCTCAGGAAAGATTTTCCAAGTTGTTCTCTCTTTTTTTTCATACCTATGACTTCCTCCAATATTAGTCTTGTACATATGTTTTTCCAAAAGTCCAGTCAGACTAACTCCATCCACACATGTCTGGCTGGGACTTCTCTGATATTCCCTCTCTACCCTCTACCTTCTTCTAATGTTTTACCTTTCACAACAATCAAAACACAATCCCACTGATTACTCAAATCATAAAAGGAAAACTTGGAAAATCCTATTCTGAGAATAAGTACCAGATCAATGTAGTCACATATTCTCCAGCTGAGGCACCAGAATTTCGATTCTAGGAAACCATGTCCCAACTGTGTGGATCTCAGCATGGCACCAATAGTATCTCAAACTCCCAAGTCAGAAGTAGTCAGTGAATTCTGTACATCTCCATTCAATTTCTGAAACATTGTAAGTCGTAGATAATGTTATTCATTTGTGCAAACAGTTGACTTCATAACAGCTGCGCAATGGTGGACATGACCATGCTTAATAAATCCCAGTCCTCTTTTCCTTTCTCCAGGATATCAACATTCCAATGGTAAATGGTCAGGATAGACACATTCATTTCAGTGACCATCACTTATTCCTTCAGTGTTCTCTATTTGGCAACAAGTTTTACGTACAAATAAATACTGGGGGAAAAAAGTCGGAGTCAGACAGTATCTCAGTTCATTTGTGCTGCTCTAACTAAATAATACAGACTGGGAAATTTATCAACAATAAACATTTATTTCTCACAGGTCCAGAGTTCTGGATCTTGGAGGTCCAAGATGAAGACACCAGCAGATGCAGTGTCTAATGAGCTTGGCTCTCTGTGAGTTCAAGATGAAATTGTGTTTCCGTGTCCTCACATGTTGGAAGGAGGGAGGGCAAAAGGAGACAAAGTGAGTGTTGTGTCCTCATGTGGCAGAAGCGGTGGAAGGAACAGGCAGTTCTCTGGAGCCTTGTTTATGAGGGCATTGATCTCATACATTGGGGCAGAGCCCTCTTGATTTACTCACTACCCAGAGGGCACTACGTCTATTACCATCACCTTAGGGTTTGAGGCTCAACATGAATTTCAGACACACAGGAACATTCAAACCATGGCAGACAGGAAGAGCCTATTCCTGACAAAGTCAGCATATAACCACATAGTACGAGTGATCAAACCGCCTTGCTCACCTTTGATGAAAGGTTTCTTATAAAAAGGGTTTCATTAGTCATATTCATTTATCATCACCAGAAATGACATACTGATTTTCCATATTGTAACTTCTGATATCATGCACACATGACATATCCCTTTCATAATATTCTTGACAAAAATGAAAAATCTTAATCCAATCTATGAAAAACATTACATAAATCTTATTAGAAGATCCTTCGTCAAAATAACTGGCCTGCATAACTCAAACGTTTCAAAGTATTGAAAAACAAACAAAAACTAAGAACTGCCACAGACTAGAGGGAACGAAGGAAGCATGAAAACTAAATGCACTATGGAATCCTGGAATTTTACCCCAAAACATAAAAAAAGACATTAGTATAAACCTAAGTGAAATTCAAATATAAATTTTAAATTAGTTAATAGTATAGGATTAATACTAATTTGAAAATTATTTAAAGTGTTCACAGAAAAAAATGTCAAAAAGGAATTTTATGTCCAGCAAAACTATCGTTCAGAAAGAAAAAGAAGGGATGCCATGACTCGCAGATATGCCCTCAAATTCATTCAAAAGGAAACCCTTCAGAATCACGGTATATTACGGCAGACAGTAACTTCAATCATTCAGATGGAGGCCTCAAAAAGGCCTCAAAAACAGAAAAGAAACAGAAAGAAACATTAAAATCCCTTCTCCTACTTAGACAGCATGGAATTTTTCTCTATTAGTTTCGCTCTAAACACAGGGGACATATATGTCACTTTGCTCACAAGAGAGACCCGCACCAACCTGTTGTTTCCTTCCTTCCACTGCACCCACCAGGGCATTTGCATACTGTCCCCCAGGGAGGACCTTCCCTTGTGAGTCTGAGATAAAAGCTCAACCCTAACCTTGCCTGGATTCACCAGGACTTCTCAGTCCAACTTCTCAAAATGAGGCTCCCTGCTCAGCTCCTGGGGCTGCTGATGCTCTGGGTCCCCGGTAAGGACAGAAGGAGATGAGGAAGGAGAAGGGGGTGGGAGGGTGAGCTGTGGGGCCCCACTGCCTGCCACGTGTGCTCTGGGCATGGGTTAGATGTGCAGGTCTTGTCCTCTAGGATGGGCCATGTGAGATTTATATGTCAGAGAGTGAAGAAAATTCCAGAAAGAGCAAGGGCCTGTGCCCTGGTGAAGACTTTCACACAAAAAGAGGGGAACAGTATAAAGGAATTCTGTAAGCTCCTCTGGGCTTTGAAAATCTCAATTCTTTCATAAAACTATATATTTGGGGAATATGATTCAAAACCTAGAGCACACAAAAATTTAGGCTGAAATAATTATCAAAAGCAAACTATGAAAATGCCTCTAATGTTTGTATATAACCTTGCACTTCTCTCTTCTTATTTCAGGATCCAGTGGTGATATTGTGATGACCCAGACTCCACTGTCCCTGTCTGTCACCCCTGGAGAGTCGGCCTCCATCTCCTGCACGGCTAGTCAGAGCATCCTACACACTGATGGAAATACCTATTTGAATTGGCTCCTGCAGAAGCCAGGCCAACCTCCAAAGCGCCTGATTTATAAGATTTCCAACCGGGACTCTGGGGTCTCAGACAGGTTTAGTGGCAGTGGGTCAGGGACAGATTTCACACTGGAAATCAGCAGGGTGGAGGCTGAGGATGTTGGAGTGTATTACTGCATGCAAGCTTCCTATTATCCTCACACAGTGGTACAGCCCCGAACACAAACCTCCATGCTTGGGGTGGCCCAGCTGCCCAAATGTGATGTTTGTCTGGTGACAGCTCAGCAGTGTCTCTGGCTGCATAAGAGGAAAGTGTTGGAGAACTGAGGCCAGCAGGTTGCATCTGAGGTTCCCGTTACATGAGTTCCTTGTCTATATGTCAGGCAAATACACTAATAGCCCTGTTAGCTGCAACAGCCTTGGCATGGCCTAAGTAGCAGAAGAATAAACATGATCCCAGTGCCTTCAGAGTAACTAGACACAGTTGAAGGGAGAGCCAAGTGAAATCTCATCCTCATCCTCCTGCTTTGCCTACATTTGTCAATAAGACTCAATCAGCAAAATAGCCAGACAATTAACACAGATTTGTGGCATTATGTGTTGAATACATCTTGAAGTTTAGCAGTTTTATGTATTTTTTAAGAGGGTAATATTTGGTAATATTCAGAAATTGGTACTTCCCAATTTTCCCAAATTCCTTCTTCTCCTTTCACTATTTACCTCCATAAAGATGGTGGTGATGGCATTCTACCCAAGCTGCCTACAGGAGCAGCTGGCTCAGAACGATTAGTAAAAATCTTGGTTTTTAAGCCTCAAATAGACTTTTGTAAATTCATGGTGGAAGATTGAAGATTCTAATGCTAAAACTCTTTTATTTGCATCCATTGCCTCTTGCTAATAGACAAAGGTAGTTTTTGACATTTCAAGAGTTGGGTTTTAAAAAGAAACAAACAAAAACCCTAGAAAACACATTTTATAGAACTTACCTCATACAACACTGAAATAAAACAGAATAGTGTGAGTTTTTCTTTCCCAAACAGTAATAATTTCAGACTACGGGCAGACTGCAGCTATGGGAGTATGATGTGAAAATAGTAGACATCAAATACGGTCAAATCACCCGCTCATCAGAAATGATTGTCTATTTTAAGAAAATGGATTCCACGGTAAGTGTAATTAAACTTGTATTCTTGAGTAGAAATACTAAAAAAAAAAACTGGAAAACATGGCTTATAGCAAGGAGTTTTTAACACATACAGAGAATGACAAGTCTTCAGAGTATTTTTCTACATGTACATTCATAAGTGGGGACACATCCAATCAAAAATCTACAGATTTCACTCCCACAATCACCAGTGTGGAGACCAGAGATAGTGTGATTATAATCATATTCTTAACCAAAAAGTCCAAAAAGCAAAGAAAAATGATTTATAGAAAAGAGTTTGTAAAACAAAGAATAAAAAATCTACAAAATACATTCACAAGAGATACACGTTTCAACAAAATTCTACTGATTTTACTCTTGCAGTCACCCATGTGGATCATGGGGACGCTGCACATACTCCTGTGAGAAGGACACTTACCAGGACGCTGCACAGTGTGACGGCCCCAGACACAGCCTCCCAGGAGGCTCAGCCCCTCGGTGTGGCAGGAGCAGCAGCAGTGCCCAGAGGACGAGTCCAGACCAGGCTGGGCTCAGGTGGAGATGGCTGCAGAGCCTTGGGGAAGGGGCACACAGGCCTTATCAGTGGACACTGGTTCCTCTTCTATAAACAGGGGACAGGGTCCTCTAGGACAGCTTCCCAGAGCCTCTGCCTCCTCCCCACTCAGGGCTCCAACACCCTACAGACCCTCCAGGCAGTGGCTGCCTCATTCTCCCTGGAGCAGCCGCTAAAGTTCCCTGCTGCCCTCAAGGCTGCACAGTTGCTCAGTGATGCCACCGGGACGGGACACTAGTGTGTTGTGCTATCACGTGCTGCCGCTGATGAGCTTCAGTCCCCTCCTGATTTTGCCAAGTCACCATCACTCTCAGCAACGCTCAGGAGAATGGAAGGCTGCCTGCACTGCAGGAGTTTTGGTTTTTGAGTAAGTTGAAACTCACAAGAGTCTCACATGATAATACTGTCTGACAATCCTACTTTGACTTTCCCTTTCTTTCAATTCTGGACCTAATAGAGATTATTCCTTCACCCCTTACAGACTCTTAGTAGTTATGCACAGTGTGAAGAGAGTAGATTTTCCCGCTGGCTTCTTATGTTTCTTTCTCCGTATCAGGCCGCATGATGCTTTGTTAACATAGTGGAGAGCAAGATACATTTTTAGCAATAGGAATATTGTCCGTTGACTCTTTACGCAGCTGCACCCACCAGGGGATTTGCATACTGTCCCCTAGTGAGGACCTTCCCCTACTAGTCTGAGATAAATACTCAGCGCTGACCTTACTTCTCCGATCAGGACTCCTCAGTCCAACTCTCAAAATGAGGCTCCCTGCCCAGCTCCTGGGGCTGCTGATGCTCTAGGTCCCTGGGAAGGAAGGAAGGAGAAGAGAAAGGAGAATAGGATGGGAGAGTGAGCTCTGGGGCCCACTGCCTCTCGTGTGTGTTCTTTGCATGTGTTAGAAGTGCAGGTCTTGTCCTTCAGGATGGGGCATGTGAGTTTAGATGCGAGAGTGTGAGGACAGTTCCAGAAGGAGGAAGGACCTGTGCTTTGGTGAAGACTCTGACACAGAGAGAGGGGGATGGTGTAGGAGAATTCTAGCAGCCTTTGTGTACTTTGTAAACCTCAGGTCTTTTTGAAATGGGAGATTTGCAGGGTATGAACCAAAATCACACATATGAAAAATGATTTAGCCCGAAATAAATAAAATAAAAATTATGTAAATTGCTCTTAAGATTTGTAGATAACCTTGCACTTCTCTCTCATTATTTCAGGATCCAGTGAGGATATCGCGATGACCAGACTCCACTCTCCCTGCCTGTCACCCCTGGAGAGCCGGCCTCCATCTCCTGCAGTGCTAGCCAGAGCCTCCGGCATAGTGATGGAAACGCCTATTGGAATTGATACCTGCAGAAGCCAGGCTGGTCTCTATGGCTCTTGATCTATTTGTTTTCCACCCAGTTTCCTGGGTTCCTAGAATGGTTCCGTGGCAGCATGTCAGGACAGGTTTCATGCTTAAAATCAGAAGCACGGAGGCTGAAATGTTGGGCTTTATTACTGCCAGCAAGCTCTGTAATTTCCTCACATAATAATACAGCCTGGAACACAAAACTCCTTCATGGAATTGTCCCACCTGCCCTAATGTTTCCTTCACTAGGAAGTACACAGAGTATATTCTTGGAATGTGTGCAAGAGGAAGATGTTGGAGACCTCAGGAGACTAGGTTGCAGCTGGACCACCAGTTCCTTGGCTACAACTCAGCCACCACACTTAAGACCCCATCTGCTGTGACAGCCTTATGACAGCAGAACCTGCAGCAGAATGGAGTGGGCCCAAGTGCTCTCTGAGCAACCAGACATGAGGAGGGGAGAGCTGACTCGATCCTCTGATTTAAAGCTCAGTCCTCTCTCCTTTGCATGCATTTGCCAGTTACATTTCCTCAGCAGAGCAGTCACACTATTTAGGCCAATTCATGACAACTCAACAATGGCACATTTTTTGGTATTGTTTTGGCTCAGCAGTTAGGAGTCTATATTCAGCAGGATATTGTTTGGTGATGTTACAATACTGTCTGTCTCCCCTTGGCCACTTTTGCCTGGCACTTGTTCTTAGTACACATTCTTCTCCAGGACCAGAGCAGCCACAGGATTTTATATGTCTGTTCCCAGGAGGAGTAGCCAAGAAAATCAAGTCACATTCTTGGTTTTGTTATTAATAAATAGACTTTGTTAAGTTGAATAATTATACTAGAACCTTGGGGGGGGATGGGCAATGTAACCTAAACATTTGTACCCCCATAATATGCAGAAATTTAAAAAAAGCTTTAAAAAATGAAAATAAATTAAAATAAAATATAGTCTCTTGCAAAAAAAAAAAAAACTAGAACCAAAAGTCTCTGAACAATCATAGTCAAAACATGTAAACAAAAAAAATTGTTTTTCTGAATTCCACTGCTGCATTTTAAAATGCAACCGAAAGCACTGGACAAATTAGAGAGCATAGTATGCCATATTAGATTGAATTGTTATAAATACAGGGTACTCCGTGTGTTAGTACATTTTGTGTTGCCATAAAGCAAATACCTGAGGCTCGGTAATTTAAACATAAAAGAGACTTATTTGGCTCATGGATCTGCTGACTGTATAAGGAGTGTGGCACCAGCATGTACTTCTGGGGAGGGCCGCTGGCGGCTTCCAATCCAGGTAGAAGGTGAAGGGGCAACAAGCACCTCTCACGGTGAAAGACAGAGCAAGAGAGGGAGGAGGTGGTGCCAGCCTGTTTTAAACCACCAGCTCTCATGTGAACCAACAAGTGAGAAGTCACTCATCCCATGGAGGGCACCAAGCCTTTCAAGAGGGATCTGCCCTAATGATCCAAACACCTCCGATGAGGCCCCACCTCAAACACTGGGGATCAAATTTCAACATGTGATTTGAAGGGGCCAAATATCCAAACCATATCACCGTGTAAGCCAATGATTTCCCTCTGAAAAAGAAGAATCTTGAGACTTTGGGCAGAGGAAGTAAATCAGAACGTGAAGCACATGGTAGAGGCCAGCTCTTGGCACAGTGCCTAGCTCTGTAGCTCATATGTTGGAAAGTTGGTGCTGGTGGAGTTTGGGTTGAGATATGAGCCCAGACACAAGCTCAGATGTATTCTCTGGGAGAAATCACAGAGTTGAAGGAACCCCTGCCTGGAGGCCAATTCTCTGCCCTGATGCTACTGCAAGCTCATAGGGAAATGGTACATCAGGCAGGGCTCTAGCGCTTTAGGGATGCAAAGGTCAGTGAAACTCCTTCCAAATGATCCTTAGGTCATATGATACATTCCTAGTGAACTCAGTAGAGGAGTGTAGGTAGATTTCCGATGGTCAAATCTCCCCTCATTATATGCTTGGGAACGAGTGGTCTCATTTGGTTCCCTGTTGGGAAAATGGTCATTCAGAAGAGACCAGGTAGCTAGGAGGAAGGGAATGTTGACCAGAGGCTGAGCTGAGGCCAGAATGTCAGCAGGAGCTGCAGTGTGGGGTGCCAGAGACATGTCTCAGAAAAAGCTAGAGGACAGTCAGTGCAGCATTATGAAAGGGAAACCCA